TGGCGCGGGAGAACATGACGTAGAGGCGCAGCCACCACATCTCGCCCGACATGCCCGCGCGGCCAGCGTCCTCATCCCTGGCGCAGTCCACGGTGACGCCCTTGCGCAGCGTCTGGCCCTGCGACAGCGTGGAGGTCCGGTAGGACGCGTGCGTCAGGGTGAACCCCGAGCGGCGCGCAGCGTGCGCCCCCGAGCTTTGCCACGTGAACTCCTGCTCGCTGGGCCTGAACATGAACGAGCCCCTTGCCCGCGCTTCGGCCTCGCCGTCGTCGGCTGCGCCATCGGCGCCCTGCAGCAGCACCTCGGCGACCTCCTTGTAGATCGGGGACTCCTGGAAGCCGTGCACCTGCAGCCAGATTCCCTGCGGTAGGAAGCGGGGGCGGAAGAGCTGGCCCGGCGCGCACTCCTCGTAGTCCCGCTCGTCGTCTGCGTGAAACTCGAAGGACACGATGGTGGCCCGTTGCTCCTGCACGAGCCCCACTTTCTTCTTCAGCTCCTCCTGAACGGCCGTGAACCGGACCTCCACGCCGACGTGTGCCGGTAAGACGCCGTGGATGTCTCCCGTCTCGTGCATGTTCGGGAATTTCAGGAGGCACCGGCCTGCGTCTGGGTCGCCTTGAATCGTGCCGCACTCGTCTACGGCCTGCAGGAAAACGAGGGGGACGCCGAGGCGCCGCGCGTCGCGACGAGCGCGCGAGTTGATCCACGTCGCCAGCGTCTCCCAATAGACGCCCATGCCGTAGCCGAGCCGGAAATTCTCGTGCTGGTGCCGTGGGTCCAGGACGCCGCCGTTGTCCGAGGCCAACGTCTTCTCCCAGGCAGACCAGACCTCTGGTGGGAAGCGCTTGCCCTCGCGCATGCAGCCCAAGAACGCGATCAGAGGGTCCCCCGGCTCGAAGCGCTTTGTGCCCTTCAGCTCGAAGACGCAGGGGATGGGATCTGAGAGAAGACCCTGATGGCGTGCTGGATCTCCACCGTCGGCGGCTCCGCGTACTTGTACGACCCTTTTCCGTCGTCCAGGCGCTCGTTCACGTCCGTCAGGAGCCCGATGCTGCCGGTGGGCTTCAGCTGCAGGAGATCGCCGAGGTGCAGCACGATGGGGACGCGTCAGCTCCTCAGTCGCCCTCTCGGACGCCGCGGCCGTTGGGCGACGGAGCCTCTCGGACCTCCACGCTGTCGCATGACTACAACAAGTTTGCCGACGACCAGCTCGGACGATGCTACCCGGACTTCTCAATCGCCCTTTCGGGCACGCAGGCCCATGACAACAACAATTTTCCCCGCGACCAATTCAGACAGACGAGACTCCCGCTTGGTAACTCCCCGGTATTCAGGCCGCAGGAACGAATTCTAAAATCCGTCCTCAGACCTCCAAGTGACGACAGGAGACGGTCCTCTGACGGGGCGACCCGCACCGCCCACACACAAAGTTCCCCCTTGATGCTTCCCCCGTGTTCAGGCCGCAGGAGCTGAGGAGCCCAAAAAGCTCGTTCGGATGACCCGCTCGGGTTCGAACATGATCTGCGGGCCCCATAGGGAGGGGGCTCCCGCCTGAGACTTCCTCGCAATTCACTCACAGACGAGGCTCCCGCTCGAGACTTCCTTCATATTCAAGCCTCACGAGCCCAAAAGTGACGACAGTTACAGGGTTCCGATGACCCGCTCGGATTAGTTACATGATCGGCGGGCCCCATAAGGAGGGCGCTCCAGCCTGAGACGTCCTCGCAATTCACTCAGAGACGAGGCTCCCGCCTGATATTTCCTCCATATTCAGGCCTCAAGAGCCAAAAAAAAACAACAGTTACAAGGTTCCGATGACCCGCTCGGATTAATAACATGATCGGCGGGCCCCATAGGGAGGGGGCTCCCGCCTGAGACTTCCTCGCAATTCACTCACAGACGAGGCTCCCGCCTGATACTTCTTGCATATTCAAGCCTCAGAGGCCCAAAAGTGACGACAGTTACAGGGTTCCGATGACCCGCTCGGATTAATAACATGATCTGCGGGCCCCATAGGGAGGGGGCTCCCGCCTGAGACTTCCTCGCAATTCACTCACAGACGAGGCTCCCGCCTGATACTTCCTGCATATTCAAGCCGCAGAGGCCCAAAAGTGACGACAGTTACAAGGTTCCGATGACCCGCTCGGATTAATTACATGATCGGCGGGCCCCATAGGGAGGGGGCTCCCGCCTGAGACTTCCTCGCAATTCACTCAGAGACGAGGCTGCCGCCTGATACTCCTTCATAGTCAGGCCCATGACCCGCTCGGATTAGTAACATGATCTGCGGGCCCCATAGGGAGGGGGCTCCCGCCTGAGACTTCCTCGCAATTCACTCACAGACGAGGCTCCCGCCTGATACTTTTGCATATTCAAGCCTCAGAGGCCCAAAAGTGACGACAGTTACAGGGTTCCGATGACCCGCTCGGATTATTAACATGATCTGCGGGCCCCATAGGGAGGTGGCTCCCGCCTGAGACTTCCTCGCAATTCATTCAGAGGCTCCCGCCTGATGACGAAATGATGAGTGAGCGAATGATGATGATGAGTATGTGATGAATGAGTGATGATGATGATGATGATGAGGATGAGGATGCTGATGATGATGATGATGATGATGATGATGATGATGGCCACTGAGTGGGTGATCGAGAGATTATGATGGAGATGGTGACGATGATGTTGAGAGTGGCGGCGGTCCTACCGTCGGAGGACCACTGCCTCCGAAGCCTACTGAGGATGAGTGAGTAATTGGGTGAGTGAGTGGGTGATCGAGTGGTGATGATGGTGACGATGATGATGAGGATGATGATGATGACTAGTGATGACGGTGATGGTGGTTGATGGTGATGACGATGGTAATGATGATGAGTGTGTGCGTGTGATGACGATGATGGTGGTTGATGGTGATGATGATGGTAATGATGATGAGTGTGTGCGTGTGATGACGATGATAGTGGTTGATGGTGATGATGATGGCGATGATGGTGAGTGAGAGAGAAAGAGAGGAAAGGGGGTGTGTGAGATCCTGCGCGGCGTGTGCAGAGAAAACAAGAACCCCACTTTGGATGTGGGGAAAAAACCTTCAAAAACCATTGAAAAGTCAATGAATGTTGCCTCTTGGGGCCCTCTTGGGACGCCTCTTGGAGGCTTTTGGCGCGTTTTGGAGGCCACTTAAGCCGTCTTGGAACCATCGTGAGCGTCTTGGAGCGATCTTTGGGCGTCTCGGGGCCCTCTTGGACCATCTTGGGCGCCTCCTTGGCCCATCTCCAAGCTGTCCTGGTCCGTTTTGGAGCCGTCTGGGAGCCCCTGGGGACGGCAAGGGGAGGGAACCAAGCATATACAAGGGTGGTCGCTGCCCGGGGCCCGGGGCCCAGGATCTCCCATATATGTATATCTATGTATGTGTGTATGGATGTATGTATGTATGTCTGTATGCATGTATGTATGTGTGTATGTGTATATATGTATGTGTGTGTATGTATGTGTGTATGTATGTATGTATGCATGCATGCATGCATGCATGTATGTATGCATGTACGTACGTACGTACGTACGTAAGTACGTGTACGTACGTACGTTCGTATGGATGTGTGTATATATGGATGTATGTGAGTATGTGAGTATGTATGTATGTATGTATGTATGTATGTATGTATGTATGCATGTGTGTATGTGTATATATGGATGTATGTATGTGAGTATGTATGTTTGTGAGTATGTGTTTATGTATGTATGTGTGTATGTACGTATGTATGTATGTGAGTATGTATGTATGTGTGTGTGTTTGTTTGTTTGGTTGTTTGGTTGTATGTTTGTGTGTGCTTGTCTGCTTGTATACATGTACGGTTTCATGTACGTATGCATGCATGTATGTATATGTGCTTGCATGTGTGTACGGATGTATTGTATGGATTCATGTATGTGTATGTGTGTATGTATGTAAATGTGTGTATGCATGGATGCATGTGTGTACGTGTATGTAGGTGTGTATGTATGTATGTATGTATGTATGTATGTATGTGCATGTATGTTTGTATGTATGTATGTGTAGGTAGGTAGGTAGGTAGGTAGGTAGGTAGGTAGGTAGGTAGGTATGCATGTATGCATGTATGCGAAGCCGTGCCTCTGCGACACCTCGGCTGCAGTGCTGGCGCGGCGGCCACGATTGCGTCTGCCGCGACCGCTGCTCATAGACACGAGGCTGTAGCAGCTCAAAATTCACGCGAGCGACATTCAATCAAAAACGGGTCTTACGCGAGATAACATGGCGACCTTACGCGGCAGCTTACGCGGGCCGCCAGCGCGGCACGCTGCGCTTGAAGCGAGGACGCTTGCGCGCGAGCTTGCGCGGGCAGCTTGATCACGCGCCGATGTCGGCGCAGACGACCCCGTTTTTGTTGCGTCGCTCGCATGTCCGAAAATACGTCCCTTGACGAAAATTGGGGGCGCGCAAACATGGATTAGCGATCCATGGAATTGGCGCGCGGTCGCCAAATCCATGGATCGGGGGAGGTGCCCTCCCCAAAATGCGGCGGCTGCCGCCTCGCTCGGCGGCGGAAATCCGCCATCTCCCATCGAAACGGGACCCGTCGCTAATCCACGCCCCCTTGATCCATGCTTGCGATCGCCTGCTTGACGCAAAACCTCCCGCCGACTGCCAGCCCTTCCCTCGGGGATGGACAGACCCCCCTGTCGCAAAACGTGGTCTAGCGAAAACGACCTGAGGCCCAGACCTGGCGGGCGCAAGCCCGGAAAATAACGGCCCCGGCGCCCTCTCGAGAACCGAAAACGGACAATTCACTAATCTGATGGGCCTGTTTTCCACCACCACCACCATAAGTTGGAGGGGGAGGAGGAGGAGGAGGAGGAGGAGGAGGAGGAGGAGGAGGCTTATGGTGGTGGTGGTGGAAAACAAGCCCATCATAATCGACGTGTCACTCTTGGGGGCTCTGACCACCCCCGATTCCCCCAATGGGCGGCGGCGGCCGGCCCGTCTCCTGCCGCGTCCGGGGGCTGGCCGGCCCGCCACACAAGCCTCCCCCCTTCCCGGCCACGGCGCGCGCCCGCCCGCGCGGCGGCAGGCTGGCGCCGCGGGGGGTCCGGCAGAGCACGGTTCCCAGGCAGCCTGGCGGCGCTGTTGGGATCTTGGTGGGATCCTGCTCTGAGGGGGCTGGCGGTGAAACACCACTTCTGGGGCGCGAGAAATCGTACACTTTCTTCCAAGAAGGGGGGGAAGGGGGGGGGGGGGGGGGCAATAATGGGTTCTCATGGTTGTGCTGATGCCCTTTTTTGATATTCCATCCCCGCTGCAAGTCCTCCTGCAGAAAGACAGAGAACCAATCGCCCAGAACAGTGCGGCGATGCTTGATGCCACGTTCACGTTCTGCGGCGAGCCGCATCACCGGAATCACAACAAATAAAAAACCTAAACTGCAGAGCCCGCGAACAGAGCATCGCAACGGACACGGCAGCAAGGCGCAGTGTGAGTTGATTTGGCTGTGGCCTCTGGCTTGTCCGACTCTGATAGTCCCCGCTGCCAAAGAGTGTACAACACACAGCCGCCAAGATTTCTTTGTATAGGGGGGGGGGGTTTATGGATGTATTGAAAGTTTAACAGAACGAGGGGAAGGGCATGAGGCATGAAGGTTAGAATTTCAGCAGCGACGCACACAAGAACAACTGCAAATCGCGGTCCGCCAAAATTGGCGGAACCACGGATACAACTTGATGTCTATGAGAGCACAGCTCAGATGATCGTCAACGACACGGTTTCTGGTGGACTGATTACCTTGGGTGCACGTGCTCATGCTTGTGCCATTCAGAGCTGGGCTCGAACTAAAAACTGTTATCCGTTCGTTCTGTCTATCGCCTGGCTGCAAAACGAGGTCAAAACGAAACGGCCCACGAAAGGGCCAACGCACCGTTTGGCTCGAGCCCTGCTTCAGAGTCAGCGAACCCGGTGTGGCCCTAGCCCCGACAGGACGAAACAAGCGTGCCTCAGTAAGAGCATGAGGTATGAAGGAAACAACGTTGGCCCGATAGGGAGGGTGAAGGACACATGTACAGTCGTGGCGTTGACCTGAGGAACCCCAGATGAGGGACGAGGCCCCTTTCGCACACAAGTTAAACTTCGAACTCCTCTCAAAAGCCTGAGGAAAACCTGAGGCGAACTGCACAACCACTGAGGAACGCGGAGCCCCCCCAACGAGAAGGGCTCCCTCTTCAGCGCCCCGTCAGAACACCGCACGCGACAAGGGCCGACCACCCCGAGCCCGAACCTGGGGCCCGAGCCCGGATGCGCGAGCCCGCTCGCGAGCCCGCGCCCGAGCCCGGAGCCCAGACCAGATGGTACGTCGGGCGTGCCCCGCTACAGGAGGCATATCCAAGAGCAGCCCACAAAATAGATAGCCCGAGGACGATGTTTCCACTATTGCCGACCATTGCCATCGTTGAATATGTGTGGCATATGCTTTGGACATGTTTGGACCATGTTTGACTATCTTTGGCTTCCCTTGACTTGCTTTATCCGCCCAGTGTCCAAAACCCGCTCGCAGGGGGACAGGCTCGACCTGGAGCACCTCGGTGTGCTGACAGTGGCGCCGGCGCGCCTCGCGGACTCGAGCCGAGCGTCACGGGAGGGCAGCCTTAGGTCGGGCGGGTCCTCCTACAGGCGGATCTGGGGCGGAAAAGAAAATAGCCAACAAAATATTCAAAGATATGTTTTGTTTAAAAAAAAAAAAAAAAAAAAAAAAAAAAAAAAAAAAAAAAAAAAAAAAAAAAAAAAAAAAAAAACGTCCCCTGACTATGTTTTGCCTATGTTTGAACATTCCTTCTGTAGAGGGACGTGCCCGACTCAAGGGCAGCCACCAGAAGGCTCACGGCTTTCCTATGGGCCCGTCCCCTGCCCCCCCCCCCCCCCCCCCCCCCCCCCCCCAAAGTCCAGGCAAGGTGATTGAGGGTAGACTTAGGTCGGGCATGTCCCACTACAGGGGGATTTTGGACGAAAACATAAAATAACCAAAAAAATACTCAACAAAATGCTCAAAAATTGTCGCCTGACTATTTTTGGACTATTTTGGAACACTCCTCCTGTAGAGGAACAGGCCCGACTTGAGGGTAGACGTCTCGAGTTTCTAAGACGCCAGCAGCTCCTTAAAACCGATGCAACATCACCACCCCTGCCCATCCAACCAAGTAGGGCAACAACCCTACGGCCGTCGTGCTACCATACAGAACGCTGCCTACGAAACGAACAGAAGAAGATAAAACGCCATAAACATAAACTTTTGGCGGCCGCGCGGATGTCTGGGACCTGCGGACTCCTCCCTGGCACGCGGAGCGCGTCAGTGGCGGCGCAGGAGGCGCCGCCAGGGGGCCCAGCGCGGATCCAAGAGATCTGCACGGAGCGCTCAAAGTTCATGCTTGTGGCATTTTTCTCTTCTTCGAAGAACGCTGACCAAGAAACGAATGAAGCTTCTCTGGCCACGGCGAGCCTCG